GTTTCTGCTCCTCCATCCGTTTCCGTTCCTCTTCCGCCTCCTTGCGTTTGCGTTCCTCTTCCTCCGCCTCTCTCCGAGCGTCCGCCTCAAGCCGCGCAATTTCGGCCGCCATTTCCGCCTGTCTCTCTTCGAGAACCTGCCGGGCGGTCTTCTTGTTGCCGGAAGTGGAGTTAGACATGTTAAAAGCAGTAATAGGAGTTAAAAGGGAAAGTTTTAGACGTCTCATGGGCGCCCCGGCCTACTTATATGCTCAGTGCTATTTTTACGAGCTCCGCCCATCATCTCGCATTCATAAAAGTCCGGTCCGGACTTCCGAATCAGAAGCCTCGTGGGCTCGGCCCTAAAGGGGGGATACTGTCATATCCCGCGTTCCGGACCCGGACCTATCACACTCATCATTTCCGGATTTCCGGATCCGGCCGACTTCTATGTATCGTCCGGATCCGACCCGCGTCTAACTTCCGCGCCTTATCCCTTTGGTATTTCCCTTATCAGTTAGTACGCTTTATTTTCCGTTCCTCATTCATCTCCGTCTTCATTTTACTAAGTTCCGATAGACTAGTGATAGTCGTACCATATGTTTTCTTCATAGCTTTACATAGCTTCGCACTGCACTTACTATTCTCCGTTATGTCCTCAGTAGTATATAAACCCCTGTACAATCTCTGTAGTTTCCTCAGTTCGAATATCATATTAGACTCTGCTCATTCTCTCCTCCGTCCGACTTGAGTTTCTCTCTCGTCGACCTCCGCTCGTCTTAGGATCGACTCCTATAGACTTGACACCTCCGCCTCTACCTCTGGTAGTCCTCCGCTGTTTCCTTTCTAGTTCGGACTTCGTCCGGATTAGTCTTATCTCTTGTTTCCGAACGTCCGCCGGAATTCCCGCGCATCGGACATCGGACTCCGGACATCGCCCGACGCCCTCCGGACATCGTCCGGTAACCTTCGGACATCGTTCAACAACCCTCGGAAGTTAGGGGCACGTACTCGGGTAAGGGGCGCAGCGCACGAGCTGAAGCCAAGCCCTTCGGATCCGACCCTTGAGCACGTTCTTAACAGTCATGGCAAATGCGAGACGAACAGGGAATTGGCGACGCTTGAGGGGAATAGGGTTGTCTTCAGAAGTGGCATCCAGGGTCATGCGAGGGATGAGGACTGTATTCTGATTCTCTTGGTGGGCTGCATCAACTCCATCTCTAAGAATGCGACACCTGAGAACATGAGTGGTCCAAGACAGGAGGATCATGCGAGTTCCATTATAGAGGCCTTCAGTGGGGTTGAGGTTGCGCAAGAGCATGAGAGGGACACCTGCTTTGACCTCCAATTTGTGCAAAGGGAAGCCTGATGGGGTGAGAGTGTGAAGGAACTCTGTGGGAATATAGTCATAGTCCCTCTCAGCAACTGAGTCTGCGCTGGTGAAGACTGCTTTATCTCCAGGGAATGATTCAAGAATAGTCGTATTGATTTCATCCACATCTGTATTCTTTGCAGAGAGGATGGTACGTTCCAGGAAGAAGGTATCATCTGGGGGAGGATGCCCAGGGAGCAGAACTGGAGAGTATAGGGCATTGATGGGAGACCGGACATCGTTGTTGGCGCATCGCATTTGAATTGGGAGGGTCACAGTTCCATCTCTATTTGTGCCCTTGCCAGCTCCAATCTCAAGGAGCCACTTTGCAAATTCATCAGAGGCAGGATCTTGACCAAGTCGCATATTTGTCTTGAGGTGGAAGATGCGAAGCTTTGGCCATATGCGAGATCTGCAAAATGTAGCGCCCACTATCTGCTCCCTGGATCCATGAGGCACCACCGGCAGGGTCTGTCTGAAGTCTCCTCCAAAGAGCATTGTTATTCCTCCAAAATCAGCATCTACGTCCAGAAGGTCACGCAATGTGCGGTCGAGGCATTCCAAAATATGACGATGGAGCATGGGGATTTCATCGCAGATGATGAGGGAGGTGGCCTTGAGAAGCTCATGGACAACATCTCCTTTCTTGATGTTGCAGGAGCTGTCCTCATTGATGGGAATAGGAATTTTGAAACGTGAATGAGCCGTGCATCCACCTGGCAGGAGGAGAGAGGCGATTCCAGAAGAAGCCACACATAGGACGATCTTGCCTTCAGCGCGGATTCTTGAAGCAATGAGCTTGCAGAGATATGTCTTTCCACATCCGCCTGCTGATACGGACTAGGATAGTTCGGGCTCTCCCTAGGCGGATTGCCTAATCTGATAGCGGGCTCGCTATTGGAGAGACGGGGATCTTCTCTCGAATGAGAGGTTCGGTGGTTCCACTTAAGGTAGCGTCGGCTTTTCTTAAGGTGCGGCTTAGACTGAAGGACTGGGACTGTCTTTCAGAGGAAGTTCTGGATAAAACCTAGTAGAATCAAGTAGGGAATATACATGATTCTAGTCTGCTCTATATACTGTCGTCCGTGTGCACAGACCAATACTACGTTCGGTAGGTAGATGTAAGTGTGTCTATACAAGGGCATCTTATCTGATGCCATGCGGTCGATTATCTATACATGAGGCTTACCATGCCTCTCTTATCTGTCCTCAAGGCGTAGCATGCCTTTGAGTCTAACTGCGCATGCTAAGGCATGCGGCTTCTCTTCTGACCATGAGGCAGAGCTTCCTCATGATCCGGGTCGAGGACCATCTAGGTCCGATCAGATGTAGCCTAGGCTGGTCTAGGTCATCTAACGGCATCCAGGCCGTTCTAGGCGTCTCTACGAGTCTCCGTTGAGTCGGTAAGTCTTCCAAGACGGTGCATATGGTGGGATAGGGGCTAAGGTCATGACGACCTCCGTAGGAGGGGTTCTCGGTTACATGTTATTGTAACACCTGCACTGTGGACAAAGTATGCGTGTCCAGGTCTTTGATCATTACGTTGCATTGCATCATCGACTACCGCATCAAAGACCGCCCTCTGCTTGGCATTGAGAGAATTAACTCCTGGTTCTACCATCTGCTGAAGCTGCTCCCGGTCATACTGAAGCTGCTCATAAATGAGCTGGTTGCCCTCCATTACACCCCATCTTGCTGCCATTTGAGACACAGGCATTTGAGGGATTGCTTGCAAAGACTTTCCATTTTTGCAAAGGATGCCATCGATGAGATAGAGACCATAGTCATGGACCTCTTCCTCTGCAGGGTCTGGTATGTTGAATGGTGGTCGAGAAAGATGGTAGCGCAGATCATCGCATAGATTATTCTTGAAGCGGTTCCAAAGATCGTCAGGGCGTGTAGGATTGCAGTGTATGAGGATGATGGAAAAGAGATTTCGCATGCCATGTCCAGTGCTCATATGGGAGGCATCCTGCAAACACTGGATCCATTCATTATCGTCTTCAAGCAGACCCCTGCGCAGACATGCTTCCTTGAAAGTCTCACAGACAACCCCTTGAAATGTCTGAAGATGCTCATAAGAGGTGGCTCCTTGAAAAATAAATATGGTGAGTTTTATTGATAAAAATTGTCATAGATGTCTCGCCTTTTACTACAGTCAAAAGCAATCTCAGGTAGAAGCGCTCTCCAGAGCCAGGGGCAGCAGAGTACATCCTTCCAATCGCCATTCCGCGTTCGCGTATCTTCCATACTGTCTTCTTCCACACAAATTTTGAGGGGAAATCCTGATAGAGGTAGTCATGGGCTCTGGCTGCCACCAAGTTCTCATTGGCATTGGCTTTGAACCATCCAGTGAGGTGAGTCTCTTTAGCAGCTGCACGCTCAAGAACATCCTGGGCATCATCATCGGGGTCATAGAACACCATATGTTCATCTGGGAGGTGGACTGGCAAGCGGTAGACAGAGGGCCACTCAAGATGCATGTCCAATTCTAAGATGCGCCATGCAGCCTCGGTTGAGCTGATGTATCTCGAGTCAAGATATGATTTGACCTCATCCACCGGTTCTCCCATCTCCAAAGTAGCGTGGTCATTTCCTTTGTAGATATACTTATGGATGTACTTGACAGACTTGATAAAAGCGCAGACTTCCAGATTTATGTGGCAGTTGAATTCCACCAGCAGTTTGGGAGGGTGAGGAACCACATCTTTGTTGGTGAAGACGACATCATTCTTCTGGATGGTGCGACCATTGTTGGGTCTGGCATACTCAGGATAGCCATCCTCCTTCATCACAGTCTCTTCACAGAAAGACTTTGGATAACGTTTCTTGCACTGTCCATTCTCCAAGCAACGCTGCGGAGAGCAGGGGCCATGGAGCATATATTTTTCCACAGCCTCATAGAGTTGTGGATGGACATTTCTGTCAGGGATCTGGGCGGAGATGAAGGAGTTGATCTGCTCTATGGTGCGTATCTTGTGATCTGGTTCCAGGAAGATGAGAAGGTGCATGTGGGGCAGACCACGTTTTTGATATTCGATGGTGTACACCAATCCTGCGACCTTCCCATAGTAGCCTTTGCGAATCTTCTTCAGGAGGGCCTGCTGCTTTTGATAGAATACGCGAGCCACCAAGTCTGGACAATCCACAGCGGTTTGACCTGCATAAGCAATGGTCAGCAATCGAGCCGCAAACAATCAGTCAAAAACATGAATTTCTTACCTGGGAGGAGATTCTCAGTAATCTCAGGCCAACTCCCATTCGCAGTCATGGTCAGAAAGAGATCAGGCTTTTTGCAGGCACGGCAAATTGCCAAGGAGTCTTGCAGCAGCTGGTGCATGTACCGAGGACCTCCAGTATGAGAGGAGGGAAGGATGATGGCACAACCTGTCTGAGCCAAATTGCCCACACCATCATTGAGAACATTGTCTGTCAGCCCTCGGTAGCAGTCAGCCCTGAGCTTCTTTTGATTATTTCTGACCCAGTTCAGTCTACTCTGCTCGATGGATGCCCAAGCATCCACCACGTACTGCTGGAATAGCCTTCCGGCACGAAATATATTGCTGGGGTCGATGTGATTTGGGCGGATATGGATTCGATAGGCATAATACAGGAGCTGAGTCACTTTTTTTGCACGGGCCCGCGCACCCTCATTGATGTTTATAGGGATGTCGAGATGCCAACCCTCTTCGCCTTTAGGATGGAGAAGAACATAATGGAGACATGCATATGCGTGACTGAGCTGGCTGATGCGTCGGAGTCCACCGCCTTGAAGATATAAGATGATATCACGTGCATCAGTCACCTCCTCGGATCCATCTCCAGGAAGAATTGCAGCGATTTCATTGGCAGTGGGTAGGTTGTATCTTCGACCATCTGTGCCCTGCTGGAAGTGAATCCGTACTTGAACTTCTGTGTGCTGCTCTGGAGGCTTTTCTCGCATGACTTGATAGGCTTGCTTGTAAATGAGGGCATAAGGGTGATGTCGGAACAGCATATCATGAAGGACTCTGAGACGGTTGCGATTGAGACCTTCATTTCCAGGACGGTTGGTGCGAATATCGGTGGCTTCTTCAGTGTCGTATATATAAAGTTGAGCGTATGAAGGCTGAAGACCTTCTGGAGGTATGAGACTGCCCATGAGATGGTGAAGAGCACCATGAATACGAAAGGCATTTGGGCCAGACCCTTGAAGAGCTCTGTCCTCGATGTCAACACCAACAGATGTAAATGCAAGAGCACTGTTGTACTGTCTGATCTTGGAGACAAATGTTCGGTCTGCATATGCCTCCAACAGCTCAGGTGGCCATTCTGGAAAGGGCCGAAGGTTGACTTGGCCCTGCAAGCAGCACATACCGAAGCGTGGATTTCGTAGAGAGGAGTTGGAGAGTCTTTCAGATGCAAAGTGCTTGGCATGACAGTTACGACACTCTACATTAAGAGGACCAAGAGTGTCGCGGTCAATTGGTTCCATGTAAGGTAGAGCTCCATCAGGAATATGAACCACCTGATTGACATGCTGGTTATCCTCTGCCTCATGCTGCTGGCGGCGTTCCTGCTGCTGGGTTCTTATTCTTTCTTCATCGTCAGCATGCTGCTCCTGAGATGCTGGATCATTGTATTCACGGAAAGCCTCTTCAAGACGCTCATCCTGTTCACGAATCCTTTGTTCCCGCCGGCGTTGAGCCTCCTCTTCCTGTTGATGTACCTGCTGAGCATCCTGCAGTTCTCTATTGTGCTGGTCCTCTTGTTGTTGAACTGCTCGGAGACGATCCTGATTCTGTCTGTTGTACAGTTCCTCTTCCTGCTGCTGCAATTGAGCCTGTCTCTGGATTTCCTCGACTTCTTGTTGCTGCAAGCGAAGAGCCTCTTGCTGCTGCCATAGAGCTAATCTCTGAATCCTCTCAGCTTCTTGCTGCTGCAGGCGAAAAGCCTCCTGCTGCTGCAATTGAGCCTGTCTTTGGATCCTTTCAGCTTCTTGCTGCTGCAGGTGAAGAGCCTCCTCCTGCTGCAATTGAGCCTGTCTATGGACCCTCTCAGCCTCTTGCTGCTGCAATTGTAGCTGCACTTGATTTCGACGGAATTCCTCCTGTGCTTGCCTTTGAAGTAAGTCATTTCTAATGCGCTCATGTTCCCTTTGCTCTGCATTGATATGATTTTGAAACTGAAGATTAAACTGTTGATAATCTGGTTCTGGTAGTGCAGGCATAGGTGGTGCATGATTAGGCGCAAAGTAGCGCAGAGGATTGTCAAAGTTGTGAGGACCCTCATAATGAATAGGGCCATATGCAGGAGGAGTGGGAGGAGCAGGTTGAATGTGCTGGTTAGGAATTGGAAGCACCTGTGGAGGCTGCATGAGTTCTGCCTGTGCCTGCTGTCTTATCTCATCTCTGTCCTGTTGCCGACGAATATTACATCGATGGCATCTATCATTATGAGCTGCATTCATTTGCTCATTCAAGCGTGCATTATAATCCACTGGAGGATGATGATGAGCACGCTGCACATGCGCAATTGCATTTCGTGGCAAGCCAGGATACTGCTCGACTGGTAGCGGTTGATATCGGAAGTAGGGAGGAGGTTGCTCCACAAAAGGTTGTGGAACAGGCCCTGCTTGGGGCTCATTAGCCAGCACAAAATTAGGCTGGGGTACAGGAAGCGGAGGCCTATTCTGATTATCATCATGGGCAGCATGGCGACGATTGCACCTTGTAGGAGACGTCATCTGAAGTCGATTGAGTCTGTCGCGTTCACGTTGTGAGTGGCGGTCGCGTTCGGGGGTGATTTGATCTTGATTTCTAAATGGTACGTGCAGACATTAGCATCATGCAGCTTATGCATAGCAATAATATCAGCAACTCACAGAATAGGTATATATCCATCCATGGTTGTTAAATTCAAATGGTTGTTTAGCAAGTGCAAAATTTGCCTGAACTCATCAATAAGTCATTTCTATCATCATTGATAAGAAATAACACCCACCAAAAGTGTATCACACTTTATTACACTTGGCTGCAGGGAAAGGCAATTTAACTCGAGAAATATATTTAAAAGCAGCAGCCAAGTTGTGTAATGATTTGTGTAACCAAAAGTGTAATCAAATTTTCTATTGTTGCTTTTGTTATTCTCGATGCCTTTCCCATATAGTAGGAAAAGTGTGTTGTTTGTCCGTTGCGTTCCCACGGCGCAGTAGGCGTGAGGATTACTGTCCACTATATCGTGTTTGGCAGCATTTTCGGACTTCGTAGAAATTTCACTCAATTTGTTCATTCACACTCTTCTTACTTAGTCTTAGTCTTACTCTTAGCGAGCCCATGCGAGATTCCAAAAAGAGGTTTAAGCGAGGTAAGCGAAACCATGTGGCCTTAAGCGTATCTAAGCGCATCTAAGCGTATCTACGCGGCGCAAGCGCAAACCACGCGAGCGCCCGAGCGTTTCCAAAACCGTTCTCCCTTTCTTCTTAAGATTTCTTCTTAAGACTAGTCCACACCCGTTCTGCCTTCGGCACAGGAAGCAAAAAAGAGTGCTTCGCACTCTTTTTTTAGCTTCCTGGCCTCAGCTTCATCCCAATAATTCAGAAGGCTCCTGATGAGCATTGTTCCTTCGTCACAGGAAGCCAAGGAGGGCTGCCCCCTCCTTTGGCTTCCTGGCCTCAGGCTGCATCCTAATAAATTGTGTATTTTGAAAAAGAGGCACATTTATGAGCACCATTTGAAAAAACTAAAAGTACAATCTACCACACCATGTAAAAGTACATAGTACATTACTGTACATAAGATCAGTCAGTTCTACATTATTTGAGCAGGATTTTGACAAAAGTAAAAATACAATCTACTACACAACATAAAATTACAAAATATGTAACAGTATCATTGAATGTATTCATTTTCCCATTTTTCCGTGTCTCCCGTCTCCCGTCTCCCGTCTCCCGTCTCCCGTCTCCCGTCTCCCGTCTCCCGTCTCCCGTCTCCCGTCTCCCGTCTCCCGTCTCCCGTCTCCCGTCTCCCGTCTCCCGTCTCCCGTCTCCCGTCTCCCGTCTCCCGTCTCCCGTCTCCCGTCTCCCGTCTCCCGTCTCCCGTCTCCCGTCTCCCGTCTCCCGTCTCCCGTCTCCCGTCTCCCGTCTCCCGTCTCCCGTCTCCCGATCTCCCGTCTCCCGTCTCCCGATCTCCTGTCTCCCGTTTTTCCATCCTACCATCTCCTGTTCTCCCATTTTTGAGTCTCTCCCATTCTCCCTGTTTCCTGTTCCCAATTTTCTGTCCTCCCATCTCCCATTCTCCAGTTTCTGAGTCTACATTGTTTGTTTCCTTTTTATTTATTTTTTCACAACCTTTTGTCATTCATTTCCTTGTCCCCCTGTCTGCAAATTATATCATATGTTGTTCCATTTTCAATTTTATTACTGTATGTATGTACCATAAACAATTACAATAGGGAAAATATGTAGTGCGCTGCTTAGCGGCGATTGAGTCGGCGCTCGAAAACACGTGACAAAGCCACGCGAGTTTCCAAAAAGAGGTTTAAGCGAGGTAAGCGAAAACCATGTGGCCTTAAGCGCATCTAAGCGTATCTAGGCGAAAACCACATGGCGCTACGCGAAAACCACGCGAGCGCGCGAACGTTTCCGAAACCTTTCTCCCTTTCTTCTTAAGATGCATAGGATTTCGATTCGTTATTCGCCTCGCTAACGCACCTGTTACGTTGAACATCCGACATTTCATCGCATGTTCTGGTCACAACAAAAAAATCGCCGGTTAGTGCGGGTCATCATGCAGTCCTGTACGAAACCACAGTTCCAGGACTTCAAAAACATCGATGATACTTACACTGCCTCTCTCAATAAATTGACTGTCATGTATGGTCCGCTATGAGCCTCCCCCCGAAGGAGATTGCTAATGTTGTCGAGATCGAGGCTTACTCTGGATGACCTTCTCCAAAATACAAGTAGGACTTGGTGCATGGATATCCGATAACGTATCTTACTCGTCCAAGGTTGAATTATGCAAATATCACCTGAAAGACTACATAGTAGCTGATGAGTTGGTAATAGTATTGGGGAAGTCTGATGAGAGGAACGTGAGCTGTCCCAGCTTTTATGTTCTACAAGTAGAATGGTGCTCTCGCAACGATCAGTATGATCAAGTTCAATGCATTGTACGAGTCTCACGGCGAGGAAACAACATTGATGGAATAGCGGAAGACGTGAAGGATAAAACGTGTAGTACATACGCTGCTCCTGTATTAATGACCATTGGCGTGCGGGGGAGATGCACAGCAGAGAAACAAAACAAAACGAACCCACAATGGGATGGGTGGTGACTGCACGATTGCTGCCAGTGCACCTGGTGCACCAATGCTGGTACCTTGAGCAGGTGTGGTGGAAGTGGCGGTAGTTGTTGGCTGATATTACGACGACGAACCCTGAACGTGCGACTGGTTTTGCTGCTGCGACCGCGCCCGCGGGGCAGCATACAATGCCTGGACAGAAATAGTTGAACCACGGCGATAGAAAATGGACGAGAAGAAAGAAATACCTTTGTGTCCTGTAGTCTAGCAACTCCGACAATATGAAGACTGCGAAAGAAGACAGAGCGGCTTGGGAGTTACTGGTGTTCAGTTAATTTATTAGTGTTGGAGTGAGAGCGGCGGAAAGGTGACGAAAGGAGACCTAAGAGCGCACTCGCACTCCTGAAAGAGGGTACGAGAGGCCGAGGATGGCGGGAAGAGGAACGGTGATAGTAACGGTACGTTCGGGAGGACTGAGATTGAGAGATCAAAACAGAGACCGATTAAAAACGCTGATGACGTACGTCAGCACCATTTGTGACATCGTTGGAAGAGCCCGGTGAAAGTCTATCATCCATGGTGTGCGTAGCATCCGCCTAAATAGAACATATACATAGGTTACAACAATTGGGAAGGTCGAGAAAAACAAATTACATACATCCGTTGATGCCAACGCTTGAGCTGCAACCTGCGAGGGGGATATTAGCGTAGTTTTGACTGAAGAACCATGAGCTTTACATCAAATAAAGGTGGGAGCAGGTCTTCAAGGCCAGATTCTTTGAGGATGGCGTGAATATCCCATATGTATATGTTTCTGTCGCTGCTACCAGTGACCACTTGTCCGATATCAGCAGAAAGAGCTGCGCAGTTCACGTAATCTTCGTGCTGGAGGGGTGGACCGACTTGGAGGTTGGTGTCGAGATTCCATAGACGCACTGTGTCATCATCTGATGCACTCACAAGGAGGCGGTCGTTCTGAAACAGGGTGATGGCAGTGACCCAGTTTGTGTGACCCTCCAGAGTGGCGGTTTGCTCCCAAACGGTTGTGTCAAATATCCTAATCGGGCCATAAGATGACGCGGAGATAAGTTTCTTTCCGTCCGTCGTCCAGGCCAAGCTGAAAGATATTGGATCGTGTTTGAGTGTGGCGAGCAGTTCGCCTGTATTTTCGTCCCATATTTTGACTGCATTCTCTTTGTATCCTCCTGTTCCAATTTTTGTATGGTCAGGACCGTCAGGCGAGTAGACCACCGTGAACACATGCTTGTGCCCGGTCTTGATCGTCAGGACTGTTTCGCCTGTCTCCGAGTCGACATCCCAGATTCTTGCCGTCCCATCCCTGGATCCGCTTAGCACTCTCTTACCATCCGCACTCCAACACACTGACGTCACACGTTCAGTGTGCCCTGTCCATTTTGCGAAAACCTTTCCTGTCTCAACATCCCACAACTTCACTTTCCCATTTCCACTTCCGCTGACAATAGTCTTGCCGTTTGGAGACAATGCCATACCGTATACTTCCTCATCCTCTTCATCTCGCCAGTCCTCGCCTATCTGTGCACCGCTCTCCAAGTCCCATAATCGCAGTGAGCCATCCCACGAGCACGTCATGATACGTCGTCCCCCAGGCAGGTGCGCAGCACCCGTTACCCTGCTTTTATGGCCCCGCATCGTCTGACGGGGTCTCACTCCCGAAGTCTGATGCCTCATACTGGTCTTGGAAGATACGGTCGGCGCGGTGGAAGTTTCGAGTATAGCAGATCTATGCTAGAGAAGCCCGCCAGGATCTTTGGATTAAAACGAGTTGTCTGGCGACGATAAATATTCCTGGTGAATCAACCTGCCTATCTTCTTCAACTCCAGCTCTCGCTAACATAAACACACAAGCCATCGCTCACCAGACAGCTCTTGCTTACTATAAGAATCCGGTCCTCACCCAGAAGCCAATTTCGGCACTGTATATGCAGGAGTTGCGTGTCAGAGAATGCACAGAGATCTTGCGGGGTATCCAAAGTTTCTTGTGAGCAGGTGTATATGTTGCATAAGAGCCCAGAGTATAACTCACGAGAAGTTTAGACGCGCCCAGTGCTCAAATCGTCAACGATAAGTGGGCGCTGGATTGGAGTCGAGGAAGTCGGGCACTGCCTCGTTTAAGCCGTGTTTCAAGATGCATCAAATGCGTTATCGCTCCGCAGCTTGATTGCTATGTACGATGCGCACAGGTTTGCGGCTAGTGCCTCGTGGATGGTCTTTGCACATCTGATGGACTACTTCGATGATGATGAGAAAGTTCGACAGAAGGCCGCATTCCCTCTTCATCTCACATGTTTTCTCCAGCCTATTTCTAATTCAATGTCGTTCCATCTTACAGCATCCTGCCACTAGATGTCTGAGTTGTATTCTGAAATCTGCCAGAGCTTGCGTCCTCGAGTTCGACCCACTACAAACATTGCCGCGCGCACTCGATGGTATTACTGACAGCCTAAAGAAGCACGTGAGGAGATGAGTGTTTGGTGCAGGCTGTGATGAGCGAGTGGAGTGGATTGTAGCATAACTAATCGGACGTCTACTTTAGGAGTCAAAGTCTCTTGGAGTGTATGCAGAGGTGAAGGTTTACCCAAGGGCCAAGAACACCGCATCAGATTTTCGGGATGAACAGGGCACTGAAGGTTGGAAACAGCGGAGGCCATCAAGGCAAGGGGTGTAGTATATCGACGGCATGCCAGAGGAGACCGATAAGATGTTACTATTGGCATAATTCGAGGCAGATGTGCATTAGGTTAAAATAAAGAATTTACAGCAGTAGCCTAAATTACCCACGACCAGGCTACCGTGTACAGCATTCATTGAAGACGACTCGGACGTGGAAGCCAAAGACACAACGGAACAGTGTTTGAGGCTCAACAAGTTGGAAACATTGTGCCTCTGCCAAGTTCAAGTTAGGGCCAGATCGTTCAGGCCTCTTTTATAGAGATCTGATGCTCGTTGATTGATCTGTGGCATCAGCTTGCTACACCACTCGTAAACAGGCTAAAGCATCAAGATATCAAGACGAGCTGGAAAATGGAGAGGACGTATGCTGTCAAATGTTTGTCACGACCATCATGATCAAGCAGCATGATGTCAACACAGCTTAAACCGCGAAGCGAATACGGGAATAACACGCACCCTGGTGAATACTCAAACAGCCGGGTACTACGTACCCAACTTCTTCGACTCCAGACTAAACGCATACTATCTCAGCTTACACGTTGTGCTTCTCGCTGGAAATGTGAGCACAGTGCTTTTCGTGAGTAATGATCTAGGCTCCTCTGCAAGGCAACCGCTCACTTACCAGCCACTCTGGGATTCCATCAAGATCTTTTGCGTGTTCTCAAATCACGGCGCCGCAACACCCTAAACAGAATCCCGACTCAGCGGTCCTATGAGCAGGCTGTTTTATCTAGTGAGAAACGCGACGTAGGCTCATATTAGCAACACGGAAGCAGGCTCGTCGACTCACCGTTAATCCGTTCTAATTCAAAGAATAAAAGATCCCAGCAGACATCTTCAGCATACATAGCCCACGATCTGTTGTACCTGAGACCTGTTGCATGCTTCCTTACCATTCCAGCGAGGACCATGTCTTCACCCACCACTGAGCAGCACTCCCAGCGAGACAATGAAAGGTATTACCAGCTGAGTACAAGGTCAGTGTGAACCTGTGTGACGGACGACACATCATTGCATAGGGACGGCTTACTGCGACTATGTGGTGCACAGATTGGTGACGATGAGGAAGATAAAGAATCACTGAGAAGCACATGGCATAAGCGTTGTCTCCAAACGGCAAGACTCTTGCAAGCAGAAGCGGTAATGACACAGTGAGGTTGAGACAGTTTGCTTGCAGGATTCGGTGCTCATTCAGCAGAGCTTTGTATCAACGCTGTCGCTTGTTTCCGATCAGGCTCTCTTTCTCAGTAGATCGCTGCAATACGCCACT